ATGGTATTTCTAATTCCAACTTATGAAGGAATCGCCATACTGCTTTCCACAATGGTTGTACCATTTTACAGTCCCATGAGGTGGCAAATCTTTATGCAAGTAGATGATTGCCCAGTCTTGCTTCTGCGGCATGGCTGGTGGGTTAGAACCGCTAACCTGTAGTGCCTTAGACACTACACCATCAGAGCTCCTCATGAAGTTAGAGGATGTCAAAGGAGGATGCTACCCCCATGTCCTTTTTGCATCCTGCTTCATCTCATCTCCCAGCTTCCAGAAAATATGAAGGATGGGAAGGGGTTACAGAGGCAAGCTATGTATGATTCCTTCCATTTTATTAGGTACCCCCCCAACCAAGCTGAACTTTTGTTTGAATGTGCACTCTCTCTCTCCCCGACTTCCCTAAGCCCTGCTCACCCTTTAAAGCTTAACCCTTCCATACAGCACCTCTCCTCAATTCCGTCCTGGTGTCCTACAGCTCTTAGCAAGTAGGCGCCTTATTTACAGAAGGAAAAGAGGCTGAGCAAAGGGAGAATGGCTTATTCATTGCAATGGAGTTAAGTCTTCCTGGTAGGAGAATTCCGGGTCTTGCTACCCAAGCCAAAGCAGTAACTCAGGATGAAAATGGCTTCCACCTGGGACCCCTGGCTCAGAATGAGAATGGGCTGGGACTAAGCACAGAGGTGCAGCAGACTCTGCTTGGGAGTGGTCAGAACAAGCAAGCTTTTATTGGGGGGATGTTGAGCAGAGCACAGGTGGAGGGGGTCTCAGTGTACTGGACACAGGGCTCAGGGAGAGGAGGGAGGGTGAGGCTGGGGCTAGGGCTAGGTGATGGTGAGATGAGTTGAAGCAGGGACACCATAGTTTTCCTTGTGCTCCTCAAAAAGTTGCTCCAGTGCCTTCACGTAGAGTCCATGATAGTGGTCAATTTTCTCCTTAGTGGGGTTGGAGCACTGGGGCACGTGGATGGGCTGGCCCACTGCAGAGAGAGGGAGCCGGCAGGTGAGGAGAGAGCCCTCTCCTGCCCACATGACTGTGGTAGCTTTCCTCTCTAGAGATGGCACTCACCCACAGTGGTGACGGGCACAGCGAAGGGCAGCAGGCCCCAGGAGTTGGCCGAGAAGAGGCCTCGGCCTGAGAAGATGCAAGGAGCAAAGCCCATGAACTTCTTGAAGGTGGTCTGTAACAGGTACTGCCAGGAGCCTTCAGCAAAACTCTTAACTTCGAAGATATCATTCTCCCCAAAGGTGTACATAGGCACCAGAGAGGCCCTAGGAAGGGGTGGCAAGAGAGAAATGGGTCGTCAGGTTAGTAGGCCACATGACAGCTATACCTCAGAGACTGCACATCCAACTCACATCTCAGGCTTCCACTTCCCAAGGCCTTTGGAGCCAGTCAAAGAGCATTCTCCGGCCATTAAAGACCTGGAAGAAGGGACTCACATTCCTGGAGAATCGGTTGAGTACTAGACCTTCAATCTAGTTCCCAGAAATGCAGCCAAAGGCTTGCCTTTGAGATAGTGCCAGGGTAGGGCTCCCAGGCCTCAGAGCCCTGCTTTGTCCATTCTAACTGCCTCTCTCGGAGTGGGATGAAGCTCAATGGAGCAGGGCACAGTGCTTGGCTGCCTGGCAGGGAGCCAGCTTGGAAGCACTGAAGTGGGCACTCTCCCTCTCTAAGATGGGACCTGGATGTGGGAACCCACAGAGGACTGCAAGTTCCAGATGTGGGTGTTAATTTTCATTGGTTGGAAGCAGCCAGCCTGGGCTGGGCACCTCCACACCCACTCACCCGTGCTGCAGGGCCAGGTTCACGAAGCCTTTGCGATTCCAGAGGACAAGGTGGTGTTGGCCTGGGCTTGTGTTCAGAGCCTCCTGGGCACCCCCAATGATGATGGCCACAGCCTGACCACGCTGGGGCTGGGACAGGATAAAATCCAGGCTCTGGCGGCTCACGGAACACAGTCCTACGCATACGGATAGGTGGGGAACGGTCACCACCAGCTCCACAGCTCCTGAGCCCTTCGTCCCACCCTTTAGTGTTGAAGGGCGAGCCCTACATCCCATTCCTTCCACCTCCATCCTACTCAGTGTCAGCCTCTAAGACACTTACCCAGAAGATATTCGCTGACACTCAGTCAAAGCCCGGCCAATGTTCAGGCCGGGTCCCTGCAGGAGGGGATGGGAGTGGTACTCTGGCCAGGGGAACCGACTCCCATTCAACCAAGGCTCACCAGTGGACATGATGTAATCCCGATAGACTGGGAGGTGAAAGAGGCCATCCAGCCCAACTAAGACGGGTCTAAGCCCAGGGAACTGCTGGGAGACGGTGTTGCTCTCGGTGCAGAAATTACAGAAGGCCCCTACAGCCATGATCCCATGTGGGTGACTTCCCATCACATAGTTCCGGTTGGGTGGCAGCTCTGCGGTCTTCACCAGCTTTGGAGTGTTGGACAGAATGGGGAAGAGAAACATAGAAGACTTGCTGAAAAGGCAGTCCCATTCCAGTGGACAGCAGAGCATACAGTTCTGGGAAAGGGGGGAGGCCCAGGGGACCCACTGGGAATACCACTCCGCTCCCACCACACCGTCTGCAGCTAGGCAGGCTCCGAATTCAGCATCAGGAGAGGGTGGGTAAGCGTGGGAGGTGAGAGAGGGCGAAAAGGCAGTCCATCTGGATAGCAACTTCTCACCTTGATAGGAAAATAATCCCTTAATTGTTTCCATATTGTCCAGTTCCTCACCCACTCAGAACGTCTTCCACCTGTGGTCCCAGGTTTGGATGTCAAAGTCCCTGAAGGTACCCTTCCCTGCCAGTTCTCACTACCTGTGCCCCTGTCCCAAACTCACCTTGCCTGGGAGTGTCCCAGTCCAAGTAGAGCCAGGTCAAGTAGAGAGCAGACACCAACCAGTGTGAGGTGAAGAGGAGGAGGAAGACAAGAGTGGAGAAGAAAACGCCTGGGGGAAAGGTGAGAAAGAAAAGGAATGAACTTTTTCAATGGAGTCCTACCTTCCAGGCTCTGGAAGGCTGTCTGTCTTTGAGCCTCTCCCCCACCCTTTGTCCTCAGAGACCCAGGCTGCCGCGGAGGCCCCCTCATCCTCCCTCAAGCCCCAGGCACCCACACCCCAACCCCTTTCTCACCCATGAAAAGAAAGATGAGCACTTGTAGGTAGGTGCTCAGTGCTTCTAGCCACTGCTTCTTTGGGGTTTTCATGGTAAGGGAGGGTGAAGGAGCCTTGTAGACCTCCATCCCAGTAGCTTGCCTTCTCCAGCAGGGCTCCGGAGGGAGGGCAAACGAGGGGTTTGAAGACCCACTTGGGAAGCCTTTGTCGCCCAGGAGGCCTGGCGGGGTGGCAGCTGGCTTCCCGAAGGAGCGTGTGGTGGGTGGGTGAGTGGCGGGGAGATGTAGGATCCAGAGCCCCAGACGTCTCCAGGCTCCTTCTCCGATTGATCTTTGAACTTCCTTTTTATCAGTAGGTCTAGGTTGGCTGCTGGGCGGGGCTGGTGGGATAAGGTGTGGGCGAGGGAGGGGCGGCCCCGGGTGCTAGAGGAATCGGCATCGCGAGGGGCCGGAAGCAGGCGAGCACAAGGAACCGGTCCCAGCTGGAGCAGGTCCGGGCGGCCGTGCAACATCGCCGCAGCGGTTCCAACGCCGGCGAGGACCACACCCCCCCCGGAAACTGTTTGACCTCGACTGCCGTGGAGCGGAATTTGGACCCGCGCCCGCGTTCTGTTTGCAGGTCTTGGCGAGGGTCAAGGCCAACCCAGGAGCCTCCGCCCGGCGCGGCGTGCCTGCCCTCCACCCACCCCCGGCGAGTACAAACACGCGCGCGCGCACACACGTGGCTCTGGTTCCCCACCTTTAATCTCACGCCCGCCCCACGCCCCGAGGGGACCCGGAAGGGCCAGGGCGCGCCTAAGTGAGGACAAGGTGGCGGTGCGCGGGGACGCCGTAGCGCGCCTTGTGCTCTTCGAAGAGCTGCGTGAGCCGCTGCACGTAGAGCGCGTGCAGCGCGTCCACCTGGGCCTGGCTGGGCCTCGGCGTCGTCTGCACTGAGATCGGGGCCCCCACTGCGGGCAGGAGCAGAGGGGCAGAGGACGCGCGCTCGGCTGCGCTCTGCCCGCGGCGCGCCCGCGGGGAGGGCAGGGCCGCCGAGCGCCGGGCGGAGGCGGCGCGGGACTCACCGACTGTGTGCACCGGCGAGCGGAAGGGCAGGAGCAGGCCCCAGCGGCCGTGGAACAGCGGCAGGGCCACGCGCAGCAGCGACTGCAGCGCTTCCTGCGCCGCCCGCAGCCCGGAACCCGGAGGGTTGGGGACCTGCTGGAAGAGCTCGTTCTCCCCGAACGAGAAGACCGGTACCAGGGAGGCCCTGGGGGAGAAGCGCCGTGGGTGGCTCCCGGCTCCGGGGGCTCGCCCCGCCCCTGGCCTCGCGGAGCAGCCAGGGCGCCCCTCGCCGCGCCACCCGGAGTGCTTCCTCACCCGTGTTCCAGCGCTAACTTGGCGAATCCCTTCTGATTCCGGAGGCGTAAACTCAGCGCGCCGGGTTTTGCTTCCAGCGCCTCCAGGGGCCCTCCTACGGCTAGGACCGCCACCTGGCCGCCCCCGGGTCTGGACAGTAGGTAGGAGGCGCTGGCCTTGTCTGAAGAGACCAAACCTGGGGGGAGGGCAGAATCTGAGAAACCAGACTCCTGGGTCTTGGGTGGGGGCTTCGGAAAGCTGGGGACCTGGATCCTCGGACGGGAGGAAAGCGAGGTAGGGAGCGACAGGCGGGGCTGGGGTCCTGAGACCCGGCTCCCCGCTCCTCACCACTACACATGATATAGTCCCGGAAGATCGGGAAGCGAAACCAACACGGCAGCATGAGCAGGTGGGGTCGGAGGCCCGGGAAGAGGCGGGAGAAGCCGGTGGCCTCGGTGCAGAAGTTGCTGAAGGCCCCGATCACCAGGACCCCGTGAGGGTGGAAACCGAAGAGGTAGTTGCGCGAAGGATCCAACTCTGTGGTTTTAACAAGCTGGGGGACAGACAGGACCGGATTGAAGGCATGTGGGGCCTGTAAACACTGCCAGTCCTCGGGCCCTCCTCTTCCGCGTACTCTCGCTCACACATTCCAATGGGAAGTTACATATTCACCAAAACTCACTGCCACTGAGTGGATTCCCCCATTGGGTTTCCGAGACTGTAAATCTTTACGGAAGTAGATTGCTCCATCTTCCTTCTGCCAGAGGCTGGTGGGTTTGAGCCGCTGACCTTCTGGTTAGCGGCCAAATGCCTTATCCACTATGCCACCAGATACATGTATGCAAAGATGTGTATGTCTGTGTCTTAACTCTCCACTATGTAACTTCTTTTTAAATGCGACTATAATAATAACTGTGGAATAAGATGAACTGGATTATAAAATTTTTAGTTTTTCTTTTGCTGATGCCCTAAGTACTTAGCTTGTTTATTGGGTAATCCACCCCTGGACAGAGGCCCGGCGCCCACCCACCGGTGAGACTGGGTTTTGATGTTCCCCAGAGTCTGTTCCGAGGCCCCCTCCCCCTTGCCCTGGAGCCCTCACCGAGATAGGGAAGTAGTCCCGGAAGAGTCTCCAGGCTGCCCAGTTGCGGACCCAGGCAGAACGCCGGCCTCCGGTCCGCGGCGTGTCTCTGTCTCTGTAGAGCCAGACCAGGTAGAGGACCGCTAGGCTCCAGGCCTGGCCCGTGAGTGCAAAGAGGAGCAGGGCCAAGCAAACCTGGGCTGCGGGAGCGAGAGAGGTGGCTCAGGACCCAGGTGTTTAAGCCCAAGGCCCCGCAACGTCCCCCTTCGGGTTCCTTCTTGGTCAGGCCCTTCCTTCCCACTTGCTCCCTCAGGCTCCTTCAAGTATCTCTCCTAGATCCCTACGTCGCCGCCTGCCCCGGGTAACGGAAAACACAGCGCTATGCTTCTGGGGTCCCGCGGGCTGCGCGACTCACCGAGCGCCAAGAAGGAGAAGACCCATTGCAGGACAGCGACCACTTGGAGGGCCTGGCTTAAGGAGCTGGAGGAGGCTGGCATACTGTGGAGCTTCAGACGTTGGCGCCCACGGCTCTTAAGCACCACCTCCCCCCCCTTTGGCTCAACCCCCTAGCCTTGATCCCTGGCTACCGGCCCGCCCCCATATCCGCCCCCTTGGCTGACCAAAAACCAGGATTAATCACAAGGAAATAACCGGAGGTGTGAGCTGGAGGTGAGGAAAGGGGTGCAGACTTTGTGGAGGTCAGGGCTGTGGGTCTCTGTGAGAAGAGCCAGGCTGGAAGCAGCAGCCTGAAAAATGGAGGCTGCCTGGGTGGTGGCTATGGTGTAAGGCCCAGCTCCTCCCTAGAAGGAGAGTAACTGAAAGAGCCTATCACTGGGTGGGCCCCTGAGGGCTGAGGGTTTATTCCCTGAGAAGCAGCTCAAGCCTCTCAGCAGAAGGGAGGGCTTTGTGGGAAAGGCTGAGTCCTGGTGGGGCACACCCCTGTCACCCCTGCCTGCCTCAAGCACTGACCAGAGGCCTGTGGGAGCCAGCACCTTCTCCAGGCCAGGGAATGTCATACACGCAGTAGTCCCCTCCCTCCACACATTCCCATCAGGTGCCTGGTCATACACTCTTCAACCAAAAAACCAAACCCAAACTCACTGCCATGGAGTCGGATCCAACTCATAGTCCTTGGGTTTCTGAGGCGGTATCGTTATGGAAGTAGATTGCCCAACCTTCCTTCTGAGGTGTGGCAGGTGGTTTTGAACCGTCAACCTTCTGGCTAGCAGTCAAATGCCTTAGGCAGGCTAGCAGTCAAATGCCTTAGGCACTAGGCCACCAGAGCTCCTGTTACACTCTCCTAGTATAAAATATTTCCCCTTCATTCACAGTTCTCATGGTGACTGATGAGACTGCCTCCCCCACAGATATAAACAACAAGAGGACAAGTGTCTCTTGCTCACCACAGCAGCCCGTGTGACTAGCACAGTGTGTTACCTATGGTAGGTGCTCACTAATGGTCTGGGGAGGAGGCAGGGCAAACCAGTTTCCAGTGTGCAGGCCCTGTGCTCAGCTAAGTGCATGTTTCTGTCCCTGAGCCCTGCCTCACTCTCCTGCTGGCTTCCCCTTCCAGGGGACCTTGGCAAGACAGTTCACCAAGAGGTGTTTTCTGCTGTGTCTGTTCAGCCCCCTTCCACCCACGAGGTATACAGGTGGGGGCAGCAGGAAGTCAAGATGTTATGGATGGAAAAGTCTAGTCAAAGAGGGACCCAACCAGGTGCTCAGGTCCACCTGTTGGGAAGGAAGGTCTCATAAAGGAGTTTTTCCTGGAGGGCTGGGTAAGTGTTTCACCGGAGGGTGAGAGGAAGGAAGAATGGGATTCTTGTCTGGAGGACAGGTACATGTCTGGAAGGGAACAGTTGGGAGAGAAATCCAGAAAAAATAGGCTAGTGTAAGCAGACCAAGCTCACGGAGCATGGCCTTCTGTCCTCAGCACGCTTCAAGGATGCTTGGGCTAGGGTTCGATGGTCCCTTGGAGGCGAGATGGTTTTCAGAAAGTCCCTGTCATCTTTTTCGAGGCTGCTTCACATTCCCCTTTTCCAGGAAGCTCTCTTGGGATGAACTTCCTGATTCTGACCAACAAAAAGCTTAGGTCCAAGACAGCCACACGTTTTATACAGAAATAGAAAAACTCATCCTAAAACTCATAGGGACTCTTAAGGGCCCCTTGAGTCAAAACAATCCTAAAAAAGAACAAAGCTGGAGGACTCAAAAGTTTCTGATTTCAAAACTTAGCAACGAATCTACAGCAATCTAGACAGCATGGTACTGGTATTGAGATGAAGCTGTAGACCAATGGGATAGAAGAGACTCTAGACCCACACGTACACGGTCAACAGAGTTTTGACAAGGGTACCAAGACCATTCAATGGGGAACGGACAGTCTTTAATGCATGATGCTGGGAAAACTGGATACCCACCTACAAAAGATGAAGTTCTGTCCCTGTCTTACCAAACACAATTAACTCAAAATGCATCAAAGACCTAAACTATAAGAGCTAAATCTATTGAACTCTCAGAAGAAAACATGGGTAAAACTCTCTCTCTCTTTTTAATAAAAAAGACATTTGTAGAAATTTTTTTCTCTTCTTTAAAATTGTGATTTGGGTGAAAATTTAGAGCAAATTGGTTTCATTTTTCATTTTCCATTCAACGGTTCATACACATTTTGTTTCATGACATTGATTGCAATCTCCATGATGCAACAGTTCTCTTCCCACTTCTTCCCTGTGGTTACCTTTTCCTTGTGTCCTTTTATCCTGTGAAGTCCTGCCCTCTGAGCTGTCTCCCTGTGCAAATGCTGCCCTTCTGTCTCCCACAGTTGATTGTCCTAAGGAGTGTAAAAACAAAAAAACAAACTCACTGCTGAGTGCATTTCATTAATTGTTCATCTAGTAAGCTTGTCTATTGTTTGGCTGGAAGCCATGGGAGTGGTTCAATTCCAGGCCTGAAGGGGTATCTAGGGGCCATAGTCCTGGGGGCTTCACCAGTCTATCTGATCAGTGAGCCTGGTCATTTTCATGATTTTGAGTTTTGTTTACATAGGAAGCACTCTTGATGATCTTGGATTATGCAATGATTCTTTAACATATGACACCAAAGTGCAGGCAAAAAAAGAACAAAAGAGGTAAATTAGACTTCATTATAAAAAAAGTAAAACAAAACAAAAACTTTTGTGCATCAAAGGACATAATTATGAGAGTGAAAAGGCAACCTACAGAATGGGAGAAAATATTTGCAAATCATGTATGTGATAAGAAATTAATATCCAGATTATATAAAGAACTCCTCGAGCTCACAAACAGTAAAAACAACCCAACTGAAAAACGGGCAAAGGACTTCAATAGACAATTTTCCAAAAAATATACAAATTTCCAATAAGGACATGAAAACATACTCAACATTAGTTACTAGGGAAATATGACTCAAAACCACAGTGAGATACTATTTCACACCCACTAGGATTGCTGTGAGGAGCTCTGGTAGCATAGTACCTAAGGCACTTGACTGCTAACCAGAAGCCTGGCGGTTCAAACCCACCAGCCACTCCTCGGAAGGAAGGTTAGGCAATCTACTTCCGTAGTGATACTGCCTTGGCCACCCAAGGAGGGGTTGCTGTGAGTCAGGGCTGACTCAACGGCACATAACAACAACAACAACAGGATTGCTGTCCACTAGTCTGGACTAGACCACGAGTCTGTCAGTTTGTTGTACTCTGGTGACTTGCTTTGATGCTACAACAGAATGCGGAACTTATCAAACAATATCACTAATATCACAAGCAAGGAAAATTCTGATGAAGATAATTAAAAAAAAAAAAAAATGCAGTAGGTCCTAAGACAGGGAACTGCAAGAAATTCAAGCTGAATTCAGAAGAGGATGTGGAATGAGGGAGATCATTGCTGATGTCAGATGGATCCTGGCTGAGAGCAGAGAATACCAGAAAGATGTTTCAAAAACAAAATTCACTGTCATCGAGTTGATTCTGACTCATACTGACCCCCATTGGATTTCTGAGGCTGTAAATCTTCACAGAAGTAGGTTGCCACATCTGCAGAGTGACTGGTTGCTTTGAACTACTGACCTTCTGGTTAGCAGCCAAATGCCTTATCCACTTTGCTACCAGAGCTCCATTAAACAATGTATACCAAACAAATAAAAATAAAAAAAATCCTGCCATCAAGTCATTCCAACCCACGGTAACCCTCATTAGGTTTCCAAGACAGTAAATCTTTATGGAAGTAGACTGCCTCATCTTCCTTCCATGGAGTGTCTGGTGGATTTGAACTGTTAACCTCTGAGTTAATAGTTAAATGACTTAGGTACTGTGCTACCAGAGCATTAGGCAAATCTGCAAAGGATCTCTAGAGTGTTAAAAAAAAAAAAAAAGCAAGATGTCACCTTGAGAACTTAGGTGTATTTGACTCAAGCCATTGTATTTTCAATTGCCTCATATGCATGTGAAAGCTGGAGAATGAATAAGGAAGACAGAAGAAGAATTGATGTGTTTGAATTATGGGGTTGGTAAAGAATACTGAATACACACCATGGTCTGCCATTGTCACTGTAACTGTAAAAGGGTATAAGGAGTGCAGCTTATGTGTCTGTGAGTGTGACAAGTGTCACCGTGACTGTAACAGCATAAGGCAAGTGTAACTAAGGACTGTCCGTGTGACCACTGTCCCAGTAACTGTTACATGGAAGGCTAGGGTAGCTTATGTCCCTGTCAGTGTCACCATAACTGTAACAGACTATGGTGTGTGTTGCTTATGTCCCTGTCAGTGTGAACACTGTCACCTTTACTGCACCAGGACATGGAGAAGGTGCTTTAGGGCTTTGTCAGTATGAGCAGTGTTACTGTTAATGTAACAGTTAAAGGCGAGTGTAGTTAAAATCTCTTGTCAATGTGAAAAGTGTCACCATAACAGTAACATGGTAATGTGAGAGTAACAGGTCCAGTTAAGGTGACCAGAGTCACCTTAACTGAAACAGTATGGCAAGTGTAGCTTTGGTCCCTTATAGGTGTGAAAACTGTCACCTTTACTATAATAGGTTATGGCGACTGTGGCTTAGGTCCCTGTCAGTGTGAACAGTATCACCGTAAATGTAACAATATAAGGTGAGGGTAGCTAAGTTCTCTGTCATAGAGAAGAATGTCACAGTAATTGAAACAGGGTTGTTGTTGTTGTTATGTGCTGTCAAGTCGGACCGACTCATAGCGACCCCTCCTTAGGTTTCCGAGGCAGTATCACTACAGAAGTAGATTGCCCAGCCTTCCTTCTGAGGAGTGGCTGGTGAGTTTGAACCGCAGCCTTCTGGTTAGTGGTGAAGTGTCTTAGGTACTATGCTACCAGAGCTCCCAATTGAAACAGGGTAAGCAACTGTAGATTACATCCTGTTTTGTGTGAACAGCATCCCTGTAAAAACAGCAGTGTTAAGACAAGTGTGGTTAAGGCCTGTCAGTGTGATAAGCATCAACATACCTGTAACCCAGTAAGGCCAGGGTAGCAAAGGTCTCTGTCAGTGTGAACAGCATCACTGTAACTGTAACAGGGTAGGGCAAATGTAGCTTTGGTCCCTGACAGTGTGACCAGTGTCACTGTAACTGCAATAGGGTATGACAAGTATACCTTAGGTGTCTATCAGTGTGACAAGTGTCACTGTGACTGTAACAGTGTAACACAAGTGTAGGTAAGACGGACTTTGGACACGTTATCAGGAGGTACCAGTCCCTGGAGAAGAATATCATTCTTGGTAAAGTAGAGCATAGGTGAAAAAGAGCATGGGTTACTCAATGAGATGGATTGCCATAGTGGCTGCAACAACAGGTCGAATATAACAACAGTTGTGAGGATGGTGCAGGACCAGGTAGTGCCTACGGTACATCGGGTCGCTATGAGTCAACTCGATGTCACCTAACAACAGCAGTGTCATGGATTGGATTGTATCCCCCCAAAATATATGTCCACTTGGCTGAGCCATGATTCGCAGTGGTTTGGCAGTTTTGTGAAGACACAACGTGGCACAGTTATGATCCCCCATGATGCCATCTGATGTGATAAGCCAGTAAGTTGAAAGAGGATTAGTGGAGGATGCAACAGCTTTAATCCCCTCCCAGCCCTGATCTGATGTAGGGGGTGTTTCTCTGGGGTGTAGCCTGCAACACTTTTCTCTTACAAGAGATAAAAGAGAAATGAGCAGAGAGAAAGGAACCTGTTACCATCAAGAAAGAAGAGCCTGGAGCAGAGTGCATCCTTTGGAGCCAGGGTCCCTGCCCTGGGATCCTCCTAGGAACAGCAGACACAAAGGAGAACACCTTCTCCTAGAGGCAGTGCTCTGAATCCAGACTTCTGCTAACCAGGAGGCTGGCGGTTCAAACCCACCAGCCACTCCTCGGAAGGAAGATGGGGCAATCTACTTCCGTAGTGATACTGCCTGGGAAACCCAAGGAGGGGTCACTATGAGTCAGGTCCGACTTGACAGCACATAACAACAACAACAACAACAACAACACCACCAACAACAAACTGTGAGGGAATAAATTTGTCT